AATCCAATTTATTTTTTCATAGTTTAATTAATATAAATCAAGTCATTTAAATAAATAATAATTAACAATTATATATTTCATGCATTTCATACATCACATAAATAAATAAATGACAGACATAATCAAATAAATAATTAAATGGCCAATGGACTTAGCTTTTAACATTTAAATGCTATAATTACTAAGTGCTATAATGATTGCACCCTAAATAACTCCCACTATCTTTAAGTAGTGGAGAATAACTTTAAAATCCACTTTGGGGCAATAATTCACTTTTTAATGAGTGAAAACAACACAAAATAATCATAAAAACGAGTCTGGAGGTCCACCATAAGGTCCTATGCACTTACAGGAGCCAAAACATCATCCAACGTGCCCACACGAGCTGACCAAGCTTCTTTACACGCACCCATGCGCCTAGAGCAGGCAACAGCGCAAACGCACTGCCACGCGCTTGGAAAAGCTTGTAATGCCTGGCGCATGGTTTTCACGCGCCAGCTAGTTGGGTGCGCCTTGGTTGCATTGTAAGTGCGCCTCACTTGATCCATTCCTCCATTAAGATGTGATCCAAGCGCTGCTGGTGCGGGAGCATGTGGACCGCACCACACTGGATCAGTTGTCCACCTTCTGGCACTCCCTTGCCGTTGGTGGCGCTCTGGCTGCCAAAAAATCCAGAAAAAAAAAAAAAAAAAAGGTCTAGAATGCTTTATTTGGCCCAAAACATTCCAGAAAGATTCACAAAAATTCCAAAAAATTCCAGAAGTCAAATTAAACCCCCTTGGACCTTCTTGAAGCTTCATAGCATCATTTGATGAAGATTACATGGCTTTAAATAAATTTTACATTTGAAATATAATGAAAAAAAGATAAATTACATAATTGAACTTTCAAATGGCTAAATATATATATATATTTTTTCAAATGGCTAAATCAAAGCCTTAATTACATTTAATTAACCTATAAGCTTCATCCATGGCCCAAGTATACATCATCATCATCCAATCACAAATATATATCATCATCATATATTAATATATATATATATATATATATATATAAATTTGGATCCATGAATTATGATTTTCTTCAATAAAATATGATCTCTAGACATAAATCAAATCTGCCTCTGATACCACTATTGGGGAAACGAAAATTTTTAAAACTTTATAAGTGATTTTCAAATAAAGATCTTAATTCATGTGTAGAGACAAGTTTTATGTATAAAGAACATGATGATTCATTCTATTAGAGATAAAAAAAACTTACATCAAGGTTTTAGTAAATCTTAGATCTCTCCTCTAAAGTGAAGGTTCTCACTTATTGTAGATCCCTTTTGCTAGATGCCTCTTTCTTGGATTTCCATCTTGTTGATAATGATCTTGCCTTTAGGAATCACCCATAAGCCTCCATGAATGACCTTGGAAAGTTTAGCTTGTGGGAGCCTCCATCAGATGAGAACACTAACCCTAAAATCTTAGAAAGAGAAAAACTTTTCTTGCTTACTCAAAATTATTGCACAAAGACGTAACTTAAAATATATATGAACCCATATATATATAGGCAAAATAAAAAATAATAATTGAAGACAATATATTTTTCTCAATCCCTAAAGTTCACGTGATATCTTAAATCTAATGGACCTCCAATATCAAGTTAGGCTATGAGTGAGAATCCTCTGGGTTTATTATTTTCTTGGTTACAATGAATTAATAATTGACCCGATTCATTATACCATGGACATAATTCAATTAATTTATAAATTAATTTCTACACCACTAAAAGAAATTAATTGAACTCCAATTAAATAATAAATAACCTCTAAATCAATGTTGCATTTTGACCCTTCTATACATAATTAGTTATCGGATAAATAAAGTCATCAATCCGACTACTAAATTAATATATTTATTTTGGTACCTTTAATTATTTTCGGCTTGATCACAATAAAATATTTGTTTGACAAAAATAATAAGTTAAATAAATAAATATGTACAAAATCATTTGTCTAAAAACACACAAAGGCCTTCGAATTTAGTTTGTAATCAACCATAATCAATACAAAATAAATACAAATAACAATGATGCAAATATTGAAAATATAACCTTCTAACTATTAATTACATAATTATTCAAAGTGCCGGTCTATGGATTCCAAAGAATCCGCCAAACAAATTAAAGTAATTACTAGTTAATAAAAGAGTTTATACTTCTCTCATGCATAAGAGTCAAATGTCATGACAGTGATAGGAAGCAATTGCATACGACGGCTCTCGCAATATATCTCAACTTAACTCAAATCCAGTTCAAGTCTTAGTTAATAATGAGTCGATCCATAATTACCGACTATGAACTATTTATGATTACTGTTTATGTTCATGTATTGATCGCCATCACATACATATAAATATCTCTTGTAATCAAGTGGACACTATCAATTCCAAAAATGAATCGAAACATAATATATTGAATTCACCAATTATATAAAATATAAATATTTCAGATATGTTAGAAACATATGTCACTTTAATCCAAATAGGAATTCGCTATGCCAGGGTATACAAATCCCAATACTTCCAATCCAAACTCTATTTGCAACATTAGATTTAATCAAAAGAATTAATATGTGGAAGGAAAGTAAAACTACTCAAATAAATAAATAAATAAAATTTAAGCTAAAATGAAAACCTAAAGTACTTGCATGAAAATAAATAAATAAATAAATAACTGAAGTAAGATTTGAATAAATACAGAAGTTAAAACTTCACCTGGTGCTATATATCCCAAAGTAGCGAGAGTCTTGGTGGGTGCAAAACTTTCCCCCTTATCCAAGAACTTTGAAATTCCAAAATCACTAACATGTGCGACCATATCTTCATCTAACAGGACATTATTAGAGCATTTTCAATGCTAAAAGCTAAATTCAGATGCCAAATCTATATTTTTACAGGTGTAGAAATGCTACAATTTAGCAATTCTGCTCTAATGGTGCATTTCATGCAAAATGGTATTTTTTTGCACAACCACCATTCTTTTTCAACTATCATTCCCACCATTCATATTTGCATTAATAATATTAATATTAGGTACATTCTAAGTCAAGTTGTAGACATTAGAAGGAAACTAAAATTAAACCTAATTAAAAAGAAGCAAAAATCTAAAATATCTGGTCAAAAAAGGAACCAAAAAAAAAAAAAAAACAAAAACAAAATTTTTATAATTTTTTTACCACTATTTGTGAATTAATTTTTTATATAATTTTTTTTTCTTTTTCGAAATTTTAAATATATATATATATATATATATATATATGTATATTATATATATATATATATATATGTATATTATATATATTTGATTATATAATTATTAAAAATATATATATTTTTAGGGCAAATCATTTCAGCCTCCCCAATCGCCTCCATCTCATTCTCAACTCTGAGAACTTGCTCCCCCCCCCCCCCCCCCTCCCTCTCCCTCTCTCTCTGCAACTGCAAACTACAAAATTTACAAGAATCAGAAGTTCAAAACCTATATATTTCAGTTTATCTATCTGTCTACAAGAATCCAAGGTTCAAAACCATTCATTCCTCGGCCTCCTCCCCCAAGGATATTAGCACCCAAAAACCATCCTGTTAAATGCCAAATGCCCTAAAACAAGAGCAACAATTCAGCTCCAAATCATCAAATTTATGCCAAATAAAATAAATAAATAATAATAAAAAAAGGAACATACAACAATCACACACATATACCAACTACAAAAGGGTCAGTCGTTCTTAGGGTTTCAGTGTCAAAAACAGAAAAACCATGGCTGAACCTTCCGATTGCAGAGAACAGAAGCAAAGCTAACCCATCCCCACAAGCAAGCAGAGCCACACAACTGAATATACAAAACCCAATAGCATAATTTGAACCACATATCCATATATATATATTTGTAGCAATAGATATGAAATTGAGAGTTGGATGGAATGGATAAGCGTACCCCCACTTGTTGATAAGAGAAGACGAATTGGGTTTGTCGAACTGAATAACACCTTCCAAGGGAACACTTTCTTGGCCGACAAATGAAACCGAGTTGTCAAAGTTGAAAGGAGGGTTAGATTTGGCGGTGGTGGCTGGAGGAGCGCCGCCACCGGCGTCGGCGTTTGCAACAACGGTGAAGGAATTGAGGCATCTTTTGGTTCTGGGGAAGAACTTGGAACGGCGATTGGAGAACAATGGTGGATTTGGGTTGCTGAATTGCACACTTGCAGAGGCTGATAGAGCTACTCCTCCTCTAATCGGAGCTTGGCCGAGTAGAGGCATCGCATGGTTCATCAGCATTGGTGGTGGGGTCGGTGTTAGAGAGCTGTCAAAAAAATTTGGCAGTTCTTACATTTGAGAGAAAATTTGAGATTTTCAAATTTTGAGAGGCCAAATGAAAGGCCATTAGAGGAGCTTTTTTTACCCATCTTTCAAATTATGAGTTTGAGAGCCCAAAATGAAAGAGCATTGGAGATGCTCTTAGGCTTCAAATCACAGTGAACCAATGGTATTGAATAACCATAGTGGAGATAGTCCAACGCACTTGCCACATCTATCATTATGTTTAATCTCTGTATGATATCTAAGAAATAGTTATGAGAATAGAACCACTTTTCAAGACTCCTATTAGGCATATATTGGGGTACCAAGGCTCTGAAATCTAGGTTGGAAGAACTGCTGATAACTTTGATGAGTAGTTGAAAATGCACACTGGGGTTTAACAAATATTGTAGTGTGAAATAACCTGGTGTCATAAAAAGCCAATCATAAATAGGTTTTGGGTTTGTATCATAGACTCAGTTTCAGTTCAAAACTTTGTCATGCCAGTCACCTACATGGGTAACCATGTTATCATATAGGTTAAATTTTACTTGGCTAGCTAATTCAAATCACTATGATTAAGATTTTGTAAAGCAAATGCAAGATAAGCATTGTTAGAATGAAATCACTTTGGACAGCTCCCATTAGAAATGTTCTGAACACATCAAGGCTACGCCATAATAAATAAATAAAAACAATATGTATAGATACCATAAAAACATACATGCAGCATACAGCTAGAATACACAGAATAAAAACAGCGAAGCAGTACATGACCACTAGATCCTAAAGACAATAAATTAAATGAACTGTGACATAACACACCATATATATCCAAAAAAATTTAATAAAAAGGGAACAACATATATGTGCCTCCACCAATGTCATATATCAATTTTACAGCACAAACTCCCTTTCAGACGTAGTTCTGATATCATGGAGCAGAGGAGCCACCATCGCTTCCACCTCTCAAAGCAATGCAATCTGTTGCAATAGAATCATGCTATCAGAACATAACATCTGAATTTCTTTATTTAAGTTATTATCCTTGATACAGATATTCTTTGACAGAAAAATTAAAAACTTAGTACTAGTGGCACATACGAAGGTGAAATCACAATGCTTTCCTATTGTTTGGAAGTTAATTGTATAAATTATTTTATTAACAGACTACTTTGAAGAAATGCCCTCTTAAAATGAGGTGAACTTCTAAATATGGCCATAATAAATTTGATATTTGCAACTAAATGTAACATAAAACAAATACCTTCGTGGTTATTACCTTCACGGCTTACAAGAAACATATGTTTGATCTTCTTTAGTGTTGCCAAGGCTTCTTCCATGGTTATCCTATCCTGGGGTGATTCTGTACAACATTTCAGAGCTAATTGCATGATGGATGATACACACTGTACCTTTGCACCAAGTTGTCCTTCTTCTCGACTGAGCAAGCTGGCATCTATAACCTTAATTATTGCATTAGGTAGTGACTCACTTACCCATACCTTCAAGGTCAAATCTCCAACAAACATATCATCAGTGGGCTTGGTTCTTGTAAATATTTCCATTAACATAATACCATAACTGTAAACATCGCATCTTATGGATACTAATCCTTCCAATCCGTACTCTACATCCAACATTAGAATTAACATGTACAGGGAAATTAGAACTCCAATTAAAAATTTTGTTACTATAAAAAGAAACATTAAAGTAAAAATTTGAATGAAAACATAAGTTAAAAGCTTCACCTGGTGCAATATATCCTAATGTAGCAAGAGTCTTGGTGTGTGCAATACTCTCACCCTCACCCAGGAACTTTGAAATGCCAAAATCACTGAGATGCGCAACCATATCTTCATCTAACAGAACATTGTTGGGCTTCAAATCACAATGAGCCAACGGTATTGAACAACCGTGGTGGAGATAATCGAGCGCACATGCCAAATCAATCATTATTTCTAATCTTTGTAAGATATCTAAGAAATAGTTAGGAGAATACAACCACTTTTCAAGACTCCCATTAGGCATGTATTGGAGCACCAAAGCTCTGAAATCTAGGTTGGAGCAACTGCTGATAACTTTGGTGAGATTTCTGTGACGAATGTTGCGTAACATTTCACATTCAGTATCAAAACTCTTGGAAGCACCTTCTAGTTGCGAATTGAATACCTTAATGGCAAAAATGGTCCCATCTATTAATCTCCCTCTGTAAACAGAACCATAACTTCCCATTCCAAGCAAGTTTTTATCGCTAAAACCATCAGTAGCACATAGAAGTTCTTGGTGTGAAATTCTTCCATGTGGTAACGTGGGTAACAAATCTGTTTCAATTGGAATTCTGTCTTTCTTTCGACATTTTATTGAGACAAATGTGAAGATCAAGGCAATTAAAGCAATTGGCAATAAAATGTAAACAACTAGAACAACTTTTTTTGTACTTGATCCGTGCAGAGAGCTTGAGTGACATGGTGGGACTTGGAACTGTGGGGCACCACAGAGTGCTTCATTTGACTTGAAGGATTGATTTGTGAAGTTTATAAATGGTCCTCCGCTGGGAATTTCTCCTCTTAGCCTATTGAAGGATGCATTGAAATACTGAAGAAGCAGCAATGACTCCATTGACTTTGGAATTATGCCTGAGAGATTGTTGTAAGATACATCCAAGGATTGCAAGCTTATCAAGTTGCCAAATGACTGAGGAATGGGTCCTTGTAGTTTATTGTGTGCCAAAGAAAGATTGATTAAGCTTTGCAGACCTCCAATTGTGTTAGGAATATCACCACAGAATCTATTCAGTGACATATCTATTTGTATTGCGGCCTTTAAAGTTCCAATCTCTGAGGGAAGATAACCACTTAAAGAATTTCAGGACAAGTTCAAATACAAAATATCTTTGAGGCTGAACAAATTTATGGGCACCGTGGAAGTTAATTTGTTGGAACCCAGAAAAAGTTCTCTTAGAGATGTAATATTCCCTAAGCAAGTTGGAATCGGACCAAAAAGTTCATTTTCATGCAGAGCTAATAAACCCAAGTTGTGTAAGTGGCAAAGATTATTTGGAATGGGGCCTTGTATCCTGTTAATTCCAAGATCTAAAATTTGAAGCTTTTGCAACTCTTTCATTGTCGTTGGAATAGATCCAGTGAAGCCATTGCCACTTAGACATAGGAAAGCTAAATTGGTCAAGTTACCAATATGGTTGGGAATGCTGCCCTTAATTTCACAATAACTTGCCCGGATATCTTGGAGCGAAGTGGAAAAATTCCCAATGGAAACTGGAAGGATGCCATTCAAAGGATTGTTATCTATCCACAATATTCTCAAGTGTTTGCAATTTGTCAAGGCAGTGATAAAGCTTAATTCTTGGTTTGGAGATTCGCTGTTGAAATTGTTTCCTACTAGGTCTAGAAATTCGAGTTGTCTCAAGTTACCAAGTGAGTTGGGAATTGAATGACTGAAATTGTTGCTGGAAAGGCTTAAAATAGTGAGTTTGGAAAGATTTGAGATAGAGTGAGGGATAATTCCGTTGAGGCTATTTCCAGCAAGGTATAATCCTTCAAGATTGGGTAATCTAATACTTGACGGAAGTTTGCCTGAAAGATGATAATTGTTAACCAATGAAAGGAACCGTAGTTTCGACATGTTGAAAATTGTTTCCAGGATTGGACCTTTTAAGTTATTCAAACCTAAAATTAAATGCTCCAAATCGCAAAGGTTTCCAATCTCTCGTGGAATTGCACCTGCAAATTAAAATGTATTATAACACACACAAACAAGTTAACTGATGGCATCTACCTTCCAAAAAAAAAACTGTTGGCATCTACAAGTAGCAATGATTACCAATCTTATTTACATTTTAGCACGCACTACATCTATCTGTGTGTTAGCATACTTGCGATGAGCAAAGTTTTTGCGAACATGTTCTAATACATTCCATTCCATTGATTTATTTATTTATTTTTATTTTATTTTATTTTATTTTTTTCGTTCGAACAGTTAAAGAAAGTTGGATATGCTTGATAATTAAGAGGGTACCTGTCAAACTATTCTCGTTCAGATATAATTGAATTAGTGAAGTTGAGTTTCCAATTTCTCTTGGAATGCTTCCATACAGTTCATTTCTGTAAAGATAAACTTTCTCGAGCATGGGAAGATGCCAGCTCATACCCCATGGCAGACTACCAGTGAAGTTGTTGCTATAGAGATAAATCTCTTTCAAAGAAGAAGTGTTAAAGACAAAAGATGGTATGGTACCAGTGAGGCCAGCTTCCTCAATTGCTAATATCTCTAAATTCTGAAGATTTCCCAGCTGTTGTGGAATTTTACCTACATATTAATAAAAAAAATTACCAACAAACCTCTTTTTCAAGTAGATAATAAATAATAAAATTAAACCACTTAGAAAATATTCTAGGCTTTCTATTTAAACAAAGCTGCTTTCCAACATATATATAATGTAATTTGAGACACGCCTATTAGAGTAACAAATATTAGAGCGAATAAGATCCATCTATCTAGCATCATCCTTTATTCAGCAACTTAAGGTTGTGATTTAATTCAGCTATTTACGACCAAGCATGTGAAACTTAAGCGCTACGGCTAATCTGTTCACTTAATTTAAACTAAGGAGTTCAATGAATGAAACAAGTGGTGCTACGTAGAGGCTGTATTTTGGAATTAGGAAGTGACTCTTCTACTTCATGGTCTTTTACCAGTCTCCTCACAAATCCTTGTCTTTTTACATACAGAATCATTTTAATCACCTTTTCCTGGAAACCCTAAGATTAAATAATCTTTAACATTTTGGTTATATATGTCCATTTTTTTTTTAATCTAACCACATCCTTTTATGTTATGTTTCTGTTGCTTTTATATAGTGTTGTTAAGTAGAACACACAGATATTATGTGGTTCAGTTACTAGGACCTACATCCACGGCACAAAGAGCCTAAAAGGCTACATCAATTACTGAAATATTTTCATTCTTCCATTAAATCTTCAATACTCTCTCTAAAGTTGGAGCATGAATGCCCACCTGCCAGTAACAACAAGTGTGAATGATAAAGATAAAAGAGATAAGACAAAGAACAATGCTACTGAAGACACCGATAGCCCAAACAAGTCAACAAAAAACTACCAGAGACACGACAAAGTAGCACATCGGTAGCCCAAATAAGTTGATAAAAACTGCCGGAGATACGGCAAAGGTGAAGACAATGCTACCGAACACACCAGCAGCCCAAAACGAAGAAAATGTTACCGAACACATCAGCAATCCAAACAAGTCAATAAACATGTCGGAGACAGGGCCAAGAACATTACTCCCAAACAAATCGATAGAACATTACGGCACAAAGAACCCAAGGCTACATCACTTTTATAATTTTCTCTCAATTCATGTACAATACAAGCTCCTTTATATAGGAGAAGTAATTATGAGAATGGAAAGAATTAGAAAATGAAAAACAAAGAGGATTTTTCTCCACTTATTTTTCTAGTAATACCAAATCTTCAATAATAGGAAAGAAAATAACTTATTGAAATATTTTTCAACACTAATTCCTCCATTAAATCTTCAATATACACTAAACCAAAACTGAATCAGAACGCCCTTTGGGACGTAAGTTATGAATTAATCAACTTAGTTCTGTAACTGCATTGCAAATAATTTATTAAAAATATAATTCCGGGAGCGATTAGAAAAGTACACATTTTTTTAGTATAAAGAAAAATTTTACTGACAAATTATTTATTTTTATGATTTTTTGAATATATACTCAATACTTTTAAGGAGACGATATCTGCACTCCACTTTTCAACATTTGCACTACAATTTAAAATGCAATGGCAATTCTAAACCTAACTTTACAAGTAAATAATTATTACTTTTTAAATTACAAAACTATCATTTTAGATTTCTTCTCCTTATCTCTAATCTTTATTATTTTACGTCTCTTTTGACAAGACAAAAAATAAATTGAATATATATATTTTTTTACGGGACCAAGATATAAAAATTTATGTTGAATAAATTGACTCTTTTGACCATACCAAAAAAATAAAAAATAACTATTAAAAAAATTATCTCTTTTGATATGAAAAGAAAAAAAAAAAAAAAAAACACCGAAAAAAATTTATATTGAAGAAATTATATTTTTGGTCAACATTCCCAAAAGAAAAGGAAAAAAGTACTAAAACAAGAGGATTATATATATATTATCTAAATTGAATAAATTATCTCTTTTGATAAAACCAAAAAAAAAAAGAAGTTATTTTAATCTAATAATGATTCCATTTGACAGGACCTATAAAAAATTATAAAAAAAAGAAGTCATTGTGGAATAAATTATTTCTTTTGACCGTCAAAAATTAAATTATTAAAATGGAATAAATTATTTTCTTTGAGAAGAACCCTGGAAAAAACAAATAAAAAAGGAAAAAAAAAATAGTAAATAAAGTAAAGAAGGTAAAAAAATGTTAAAGTTGTATAAAGGGTAGTTATAACATTATAAATTTAGGATAGTGCATTAATGAATTGAAAGATGTTCTTGTCATTTCCTTTATAAAAAAAATATATAAATATAATGCAATTGGAGAAAAGTGGAGTACGAATATCGTTTTCCTACTTTTATTCCTCTAAGTAATTAATATAAAACATTAATATAGCACAATTTTCCAAACCTTCCTGGTTTGCAAAACTTTCAAAATCACTGTATAAAATAAAGTCCTTCCATATATGTAAACTGCTGACCTGGATATAGTAAGGGAGAACGAAAGCAGAATCTACCATACCGTTCAAGTTGTTTCCGCCAAGATATAACTCTTTCAGGATGGGTATGACCCGTTGAATTTATTATATGCCAATGACAACCTTTGAAGTTTCAAGCATTCATATAAAGTGGACGGAATTTGGCCATCGAACTGGTTGTAGGACAGATAAAGCCTGGAGAGTTTTGGAATAAGGTAGCACAAATCTGCCGGAAGATTACCCGACAAACTATTCGTTGCGAAAGCAATAGTTTCTAGTGAGGAGATATTGAAGATGGGGGCAGGTATGGAGCCCGAAAGTTGGTTCCACCTCATATCCAGAAACTCTAGAGTACCAAGCTTGCCAATTTCTTTAGGAAGGTTTCCTGTAAAGTCATTGGAAAAGAAATTGATGTATTCTATTTTACGCAAATGACAATAGAAACTGTTGTTTCGGATGTTTAGTAACTCTGGTGGCCAGGGGCGAAGCTGCAATCTTCATTTGGGGGCCGAATTATAAAAAGGAAAAAATGGAAGGAAAAAATTTTACAGTCCAGTGCAAGAGTGAGAGATGTTGAACCAGTACTATATAATTAACAATTAATAAATTTATAAAGCTATTGTATTATATATTTTTTATAATATTATTTTTATTAGTATATATATTGAGGAAAATACAATAAAAATTGAGAAAAATGAACCTAAAAATATAGCTATGAAAACTGATATGAAAATGGCAAAAACTAGAGAGGAGGAAGCAATAAGTTACCGGTAAAAAGAAGAAGTTGTAAACAAAAAAACATTCTTCAAGAATTAAAAATTTATTCAACTATTGTTTCAAAAAAAAAAAAATTTTAAATTTGGTTAGGTCAATTCCACTTTGAAAAATACAAGTCATTTCTTTGCCCAAAAAAAAATGCATGTCCATTATTGGTATTTTTATCACGTTGGTATCATAATATTTACTTTTTACTACTATTCTCCTGATTAGTAAAGAAGGCTGATGTATTTTTATTGAGTATGAGGCACCATTAGAGTAAATTTTTTCTCCCTTAAATTCATACAATAGATATTATACTTATGTATATGTAGATATTATAAAATAATGATATATTGTAATAAAATCTACCAATAATGGACTTATTTTTTTATTTTACAATATTCTCACTTTAAAAAGTAAGTTTTATAGGTCCAAATACAAATTTTAATATGACACAAGTTATATTATTTCTAGATTCATAATAAAAGGAGAATAACTGAAATTTTGAAAATAATTTATAAATATTTTACTTCATCCAACAAAGAAAGAAAAGAAAAGAAAAGAAAACAATAAACAAAGAAAGAAAAAAAAAACAATAAACAGTAAGGCTTTGTTTGGTTAGGTGGAAAAAGCTATTTTTAATTTTGTTTTTTTAGAGTTTGGATAAATGGAAAGAGAAACCTAATGGAAAATTTAGTTTCCCAAATTGAGTATTTTCCCTCAAAATTTCTCAAAAAAATTTTGCGTGAAAAAAACCCCTATTTATTTGCAGTTCCTATTTTACTATCAATGATAATTTGTGTAAAATTGCTCAAAATAGATCATGCTTCTAAATAGAATTTTTTTATTTTTTTTAATTGTCTGTTCTATGTTGCAATTCTAGCCACTTATAATCCGTATATATATATATGTATGGTGAAATATTTGATTTTTCTCCCAAATAATAGTATTGCTTCTTCATCTCTAATTTTTTATTTTTTTAATTTGTTTATCTTAAACTAATAATTAGTTTTACTTAAGAAAATACTATGAAGCCTTATTCTAAATATAAATAATAAAAATGAATATAAACAATTATATATTCGAATTAAATAATCCATCATTTTCCTACGTAAGGGTAGTTTTGGTATGCATAATCATTTTTTTTTCACTTTCATGCTATCCAAACTAACAAACTAATATTTTTCTAAAATTTTCTTGGATAAATTTTCATGCTAACCAAATTTATGCTAGAAAATCTCTTTACTTTTCATTCACTTTCACTTTCTTTTCTTTTCTTTTTTTCTTGCTTATTTCCATCTAACCAAGCTGAGCCTAATAACGGAGAAACAAGATAAAGGAATAGCAAGCAAGACATTGTGCATTAGGAGTTCTATCATACCTTTCAAGTTGGGTGCATAGTAAGGGAGAACAAAAACAGATTTTATAATACCTGTCAAGTTGTTTCTACCAAGATATAACTCTTTCAGGGAGATTAAATTCCCAATCACTCTTGGTATTTCTCCATTGAATTTGTTATTTGACAACAACAGGGTTTGAAGTTCGGAGCATTCAAGTGAAGGAATTTGGCCATCGAACTGGTTAGAGGACAAACCAAGCCAGTAGAGTTTTGGAAGACTGTAGCACATATTCGTTGGAAGATTACCCGACAGGCTATTATTGTCTAAACCAATTCTTTCCAGTGAGGAGATGTTGAAGATGGAGGCTGGTATGGAGCCCGAAAGCCGGTTCCACCCCATGTCCAAAACTTTCAGATTAACAAGCTTGCCAATTTCTATAGGAATGTTTCCTGTAAAGTCATTGAGAGTGAAAATCATGATCGATATATTTCTAGTCAACACAAATTACCTATCTCCTTAGGGATATCATAACAGAAATTATTGTTTCTAACTTTTTAATGTCGAGGGATAGCAAGATGGAGAGGTTGCGTATTTAATATTCATCCTAGTAGTTAATTAATATACCTCATTAATAGAGCACAAATTCCCAAACCATCCTTATGCAAAATTTTGTCACTATAAAATAAAGTCCTTGCCCATATGTAAGCACATATGGGTATAGTAAGGAAAACAAAAGCAAAATTTATCGTACCTTTTAAATTGTTTGCACCAAGATATAACCCTTTCAGGAAGGTTAAGTTTCCAATTTCTCTTGGTATTGCTCCACTGAATTTATTATATGCCAATGAAAAGATCTGAAGTTTGGAACAATCATATAAAGTGGAAGGAATTTGGCCATCGAACTGGTTGTAGGACAGATCAAGCCAAGAGAGTTTTGGAATAAGATAGCACATATCAGCCGGAAGATTACCCGACAGACTATTACTTGCGAAAGCAATTGTTTCCAGTGAGGATATATTGAAGATGGGGGCAGGTATGGAGCCCGAAAGTTGGTTCCATGTCGTATCCAAAAACTCTAGACTAGTAAGCTTGCCGAATTCTTTAGGAAGGTTTCCTGTAAAGTCATTGGAAAAGAAATTGATGTATTCTAGTCTACGCAAATGACCAATCTCTTCAGGGACATTACCATAGAAACTGTTGTTTCTGATGTCTAGTAAGGCTAGAAAGGAGAGGTTTCCAATGTGTGGAGGGATGGTGCCTCTTAGGCCCATGTAAGAAAGGTTCAAGACAGCAACTCTGTGGTGGCGAATGCTGCAATGGACACCAATCCAATTGCAATGGGAGGTTGAGGTGGTCCAATTGTTGGCCAAAATGTTGCGAGGGTTCGCTAGTGATGTGGGATTTCAGGGCAAGAAGAGCCGATTGATCAGTGGTGACAATGGTTGCAGTCCTACTAGTACTCACCGTCACAGCCAAGCAAGCCATGAGAGAGTAGTAGTAGTAGTGCACCAACAATGGAAATGTAACAGAAACAAGGGAGCTAGTTTTCTCCATCATGAAAAGGTGACACAGCTGGTCGAGGTGAATCAGAAGAGGAAGGTTAAGTGTGGTATTAATATGATGAATTTAGTCTAGTTCTCTTCCGCTTTGATTAGCAATTCTGATGAGATATATATGGCCGTCTTTTAAGTCTTCGCATATTTCCATAATCGGAAGCTATCCCCTGGTTCACGGAAAAGCAGACCTTGACCACGTCAAAGTCTTCAAACATGGAAGTTTCCTCTAGAAAATGACTCTTCGCTTTTGGACAAGAAGATTTGTTCACTTCTATCCCTTTCTCTTTCAATTTGCAGACCCACCTTTTAATTTCTGTATAACGAATGTCTCCAAGTCAAGATTCCACTCCACACAATAGTACGTTTGGAAAATCAATAAAGAGATTCCATAATTATGACTCCAGTTGCATTAAGATGGTTGGATGGGGGTTCAAACAGATATCATATAACATTATTTTCACAGGCAATTTAAGACCTTCCAGTTGAAAATGCAAATTAATATAACTTAATGGCATGTACAGCGGAGGGAGGAGTGGGCCAGCAGGGGCCTCCCCCCCCCCCCCCCCCCCACACAAAACATTAAGCCGAATCAGCCCTCAAATTAGGGCACACCAAAATTTCCCTCCGCCCTTCCCTCTTGTCCTAACCCTCTGTTCTTCACCTTCTCCCGAATCTCCATTCTCCTCCACCTTTAGGCTTCACACAAACTGACAATCTGTTGGACCACCACTTTGCTGAGGATGCAAATTGCAATCTAGGACATGGTCTGGGACTCTGGAAGACTATCGAAAAGGTCTTTTTTTATTTTTTTATTTTTTTGCGATTTGCCATTCTCTCTGTTTGTTGTTCTTGCTATTTGCCTTGCGATTTGCCATTGTTGCTATATTTCTTCACGATGAATGAAGTTGATTATTTGAAATTTTGCTTTATTTCTCCTTTTGATGGAATTCTTTTCCAATTTTTATTCTGAAATTCAACATCTGAGCTTTAAATGTGAGCTATGTCTGGTCTGATTTTTATTTTTTGCTGTGGTTTTCCAGTGAGAGAGAGTTATACATTTGAGGGGAATTGAACTACAAATCAAAAACATGATGATCTCTTTTATATGAACAGAGAAGTATGGTCTTTTTGTCAACAACAAATTCTTGCCTGGAACTATTTAATATATTATATATATATCTTGATTCCATTCCATGTCTTTGATGCACAAATTAAAAACAGCTTTTTATGTTAAAGCACTTGAAGTTTACATTATTCATGAATGCACGCTACCCTATTTCAGGCCTTGCTTCAGGCTCCATTTTTTTTTTTTTTCCTTCGGAAAGTGCTTCAGGCTGTTTTTGTTTATATATCAGTTATGCATATCATATGTTTAACCCTCAGAAGTTAGAACTGATGCAATATATAGTTATATACTTACACCATGTCATATACCAGTATTAGTTATAAACACAGATAAAACTCAAAATCTTTTGAAGTCATTATTTATTAAATAAAAACCAACATGGTGTAAATACCATGTTTTTTTACAATCTTCCAAAACAATTTTAGGAATTATTTGTTGTTCTTGTTGGTTTTGATTAATGAAGGTAATGAGGATATAGCATTTTTACTTGATAAATGCGAGCAATATCTTTGTTCTTCCACAATGTTGCACACTCCCCCCCCCCCCCCCCCCCCCCCCAACATTGAATCCTGGCTCCGCCCCTGCATGTACTGCAAAAGTCCTATGCCATCTTTCCTGTCAAATAAATAGAAAACATATGCTTGATGCTTGATGCTTCTACCAGAATGGATAGTGTATTTATTTAGAATTATTAGCCAAGCAAGCTGCTGCAGAGTGATGAATCGAATTCAAATATAACTATAGTTTTCAGACATATGCTACAATTTGTTCCACTTTTGAACATTGCTCCTAATTAGCAACGACCCAATATTTCATAAACTAGTCTTAAATTAACTCATAAAATTTAACTTATTCATATTGAATATTTGTAGCTTGACCTACCAAGTATCAAAGGGTTTATAATTTATTGGTATAATCTCTCTATCCTCAAAAAAGTGCAAAATTCAAGCTCCAAACTGATCAAAAAGTGTGTAAGTACTACTTACCTCACCGATAAAAGAAAAAGAAACCCTAACCCACCAGGGTCAGGCCATTAAATCCACAATATGTTATACATTGATAAACATGCAAAAGAGTAAGTCTCAATGAAATGTAATGGTACTACTAAAACCACAAAACTTCAAAATTTATTTAAATTTGTCACTCTCATTTGGAATTTCTTGTATCAGCTGATTAAATTTTAATGCAATTGCAATTCTCATTTCATATATAGCGAGACACTTCAGTTTTTCAACATTGGCTCCACAAATTTCCTCTCCTTTCTTTTTTGGATTAATTACACTCACACCCCCGTACCTTATTGACAAATAGATGAAAGCTAGTTAACACCTTTTTGAATAATGACACCCCCACAAGTTTGCTTCATCTGACAAACACACCCTTTAGCACTAAGACACATAATAAAATGACTAAAATGCCCTTTGACTCCTGAATTGACCTATTTAAATTACGAAATTACTTTTTTAAACTTTCTAAGCCAATTTAAGGGACAAAAATAACCCTAGATGTCCTTCCAGGCCAACCCAAACACCACCTAACTATCCTTCCATGGCTAACCCAAACACCACCGCAACCACCAGAAGAACAAAAAACAAGCAATGATCAGCCCAACCACCACCACCACCACCACCACCACCACAAAACCATATATATATATATATATATATATATATATAAAGAAGAAAGAAACACTCATGCAGCCATGCCCAACCCATACACCACCACAACCACCTGGGAGTAAAAAAAAAAAAAAAAAAAGCAGCCACTATTTCTACAGTCATTCAAATAATAATAATAACAATCTATGTTTGGTTGTTGAGTATCTGCATTATAATAATAACAATCTATGTTTAGTAACTGAGTATATGCCTCATTCATGAAAACAAAAACAACATGATATAGAAATAAGGGTAAAGTACAGAAACAGCCTCTGAGGTTTGCTAAAAAGACACCCACATACAAGTTACCATATTTTGGGATAATGACACCACCTTATGAAATTTGCAAACCAAACAGAGCCTTAAAACATGCGAAAAGTCCAATTTTACCGTTCACTATTTTATTAATTTTAATTATAAAATATCAAAATTATTAAAAGACCAAATTACCTTTTTCATCTTTATATATATATATATATATATATATATATATATATATATATATATATATCCACACAGGCACCGGCACCGCCTATCTTCCCCTCCGCCACCACCGCCAATCTTCCCCTCCACTGCCCACCCATCTAAATCAACATCATTAGTAGCGTCGAAGGACCGCCACACTAAGGTGGAAGGCTGTAGTCGGAGAGTCCACATGTCGGCGACGTGTGCCGCCAGAATCTTCCAATTGACTAGAGAACTCGGCCACAAGTCCGACGAAAAGACTATCTGGTGGCTCCTTGAGCACGCCGAGCCCGCTATCATCGAAGCCACTGGTACCGGGCATGTTCTTCTCCACATGGTCAAGCTCTTCAAGCCTGTAGTCGCCGAACTACTATTAGTTCGCCGTCACCGGGTTTTTAGGTTTTGCTTCTCTCTCTAAAACAGAGAAGATAGTTCTTCTACTTTGATTACTTTCTCTCTTTATATGTATCTATGTGTACGTGTTTACAACTGTGTGTGTGTATATATATTTTGTGGTATTCTTCTTTGTTTTTGGTGGTATTGTTGCTGATGAAAAAAAAGTTGAAAATTTGTTGGGAAATTGAATTTAGGTGGTTGGTAAATCGATGATATTGTAATGTGTGAAATGGGTTTGGATTGAGGAAGCCATGGATAAGGTCGTATACCGAAAATGATGCATATTTACATCAGCAAAGCGACTATGAATTGGTAAAGTTTTTGACCAACGCAAGGCATCACCAGTTACATCAGCAAGCTTGCAACTAGGATCAACAGAAGCAAAGTTGCAGTAGAAGAAGAGAACCAACATCATCCACTGCATACTCACAAATTCACAATTAACACAAATGAAAGCTAATTGGCGAGGTAAATGTTAATGAAACTGAGAATGATGATGAGGCGGTGATGAGCACTGAAAAGTGCGCATTTAAATCCCTTAAGCTTAGGTATTCTAGAACCTTTATCTATCTTATTTTCCCGCTTTAGATTGATTTTGTATTATTTCCATTTTCAGGTACTTATCCCCAAAATAAGTTAACTCAGCTAAATAAGAGCATAATTGAAGCAATCTTTAGATGAAACAAAGAAAGGAGCAAAGTGGGAGCAAAAGGAACCAAGTGGTGGAAATTCAGCAAGTTCGATCGATCTCAGAAAATATTCGATCGATCGAAAGTTCATCGATCTTAGCATTTCAAGATGGATCCAATCTATTTTGTCCTTATCCAAAGATCCCACAAAGTTCGATCAATCCAACTTTCTTCCAATCGATTGAAAAGATTCCATCTTATCCAGTTGTACCACCCTACCTACCACACTTGTCTCTTTCCCAAAAATATCTTCAAAATATCTCAGATTTGTCTTTATCCAAAAAGGCTCCGCCACAGAGGATCGATCCAGCTTAAGTTCAATAGATTTTAGCCATGTTCGATCGATCTCACCACAAGTTCGATCGATCGAACTTTCCAAAGCGCAAGAAAATCTAATTTCCAGCTCATTAAAAGTTGTCTCATATCCAATCATTGGGGGGGATATTGGTGTACGAGCCCAGCTCATTGGGGGTGATATTTAACCTACCTATATAAGGAATATGATCCATATGTTGAGGGGACATATACATACACTTGAGACACAATTTCCATATATTCTTAGTAAGGAAGAAAAGAAGAGAGGAGGCTAGAGACATAAGCTTGGAGTTCTTCCATCAACCAAGAATAGGAGTAATCTCTACCATTGAGTTAGCCCTTGAGGGTTGGAGGACACCATCCATGAGTGGCTAGACATCCTCTTGGGGCTAGAGTTAGTCCTAAATATGCTTTCTACATCTTGATTTATGTATTTTTTAGGGAATTTGTATTGTAATACATGTTTTGAAACTTTTATATATATAGATCTTGTTTATTCAATGATTTGTGTGGTTTAATGCTTCCAATTGATCATTTCATTCTATCCATATGTTTATGTATGCTAGAATATATGTTCATGTGTTTGTCTCTATTTCTTGTGTTATTGATGCATGTCTATGTGTATTGATGCTATAGATCTTGATATTGTTAAGACATAGTGCTTAATGGAATGCTCTTGTGGTTTATTTGATGGTTCATACTCATTTCTTGACGGATTGTGCCTCTCCCTTAGTTTAATTAGTTTAATTTCATGTCATTAGCTTTATTGTAGTGTAATTGTTGTTTAGATGTTAAATGGGAGGACAATCCATGCTTGTTGTTTGATGTTTCATACTTATGAAAACAAGTAACATATGTCTCTGACCTTGTGATGTGTTTGGATTGTGAGCTTAAAGAAATGATTAATGGCTTAGTTTGATATACTGTGCTATCCACCTTGTTGCTTAGGCAATGTATACTTAATTTGTCATCCATGCTTGTTGAGACAACCATACATACATACTATGTTACAATACATGTTTTCCCCCTCATTAATCATTCATTAAGGGTGTAGAAAGCTATGCTTAGTAGTGATCTATAAACCCCAAGATCTCTCTCTTATTTTCTCTCCATTAAATTTATTTGTTTACTTTAGTTTAAATTACATCTTAGCATAATTTAATCACCAACCAATCTTTTGATCACTCGACCTACTAACCCTAATCTCGATTCCACAACCTAATACGACCCACCAATCCCTTGGGACGATCCCTACTCGCCCTAACTATATTTTTAGTGAAAGGTAGTAGTGACATATTATAAATGTAAAACTTGGCCACACTCACCGTATTCCAAAACACCACTCTCTTTTGCACAAACTTTGGGGTGACTACCAGCTTTAGTGACTTGAGGCCCCCCAATATTGGAGTTCCCCAAGGTGCGAGATTGACTTGCGGCATCGTGGATGTCTTCCAGCGTTCCATTGAGCTGTTGGCGTGGAGCCTTTTGTTGGTGAGGTGGATTATCATTGCCTGGCTCCATTGGGGGATCTTCGTTCTGACGTTCAGGTCGAGGGTCGTTCGGCTGTTCATTCCACCGAGCGTTGCCTTGGAGTCTTTCGTTTTCTCTGCATAGAGTGCTGATTTGTGCCACGCTGGTTTCTTGAGCCTGCCTTAGCATATTGATTTGCTTAACGCTGGCTTTTTTTGCTTGTCGCAGGACGTCCAGTTGCACTTGCATTTCTTCGCGTATCTTTTGCATGGTCTCCTGTTGCTGTGGTTGAACAGTGTCTGGCTCTGTTGCCATTCTGGAGTGATGCTATATGCAAGGGATAGGGAACGAACTTTTTGTATCGATTTTCTCACAGACGGCGCCAAAGTGTGGGTACAATTTTTTACACCCGAACACCTAAAGAGATCAACTACGGAGAGCACACAGAAAAAAATCAAGAATGGAGCAAACAAATCTTTGATATAGTAGTCATATTCAGAGTTCGATGGCCTTCACCCTTGTTCAGGCTCTATTTATAAGTGTTTTTGGCTTAGGAATTTACATGGAGTCGTTTCTTGGCTTTTATTCCCAAACGTGGGTAATTTATGCCTACAGATCGTGCATTCGATATTATTGCAGGCGTTATGGAGTTTGGGCCTTGTCAAGATTAGGCCTGTTCATTCTGCCTTTGTTTTAAGTAGGCCTTCCTTCGCTGGGCTTATGTTTGATTATGGGCTTCTAGCTTTTTTTAACTTTGTTGTGGGCTGCCTTTTGTCGCAACGTGTTGTTTTGCGATTGGAGTGATTTTTTTTCCCTCCACAGTCCCCCAACATTGGAGTTCCCTAAGGTGCGAGATTGACTTGCGATATCGTTGATGTCCTCCGGCGTTCCATTGAGCTGTTGGCGTGGAGCCTTCTGCTGGTGAGGTGGATTATCAGTGCCCGGCTCTATAGGGGGATCTTTGTTCTGACGTTCGGGCCGAGGGTTGATCGGCTGATCATCCCGTCGAGCGTTGCCTCGAAGTCTTTCGTTTTCCCTGCGCAGAGTGCTGATTTGCGCTACGCTGGCTTCCTGAGCCTGTTTTAGCATATTGATTTGCTCAGCGCTCGCTTCATTTGCTTGTTGAAGGACGTCAAGTTGCATTTGCATTTCTTCACGTATTTTCTATATGGTTTCTTGCTGCTACGGTTGAACAATGTCTGGCTCTGTTGCCATTCCGGAGTGATGTCGCGCGCAAGAGATAGAGAACGGACTTCTTGTATCGGAGTTCCCACAGACGGCGCCAAAGTGTGGGTGCAATTTCTCACACCCGAACACCCAAGGAGATAAATTATAGTGAACACACAGAACAATCAAGAAGAGAACAAATAAATCTTTGAAAGAATAGCAGTATTGGGTATCCGATGCCTTTTCATTCTCATTCAAGCTCTATTTATAAGTTTTTCCTCAGAGATTTACATAGAGCCGTTTCTTGGCTTTTATTCCCAAACGTGGGTAATTATATCTGCAGATCGTGCATTCACCATTATGGTAGACGTTATGGAATTCGGGCCTTGTTAAGATTGGGCCGCCCATTTAGCCTTTAAATTAAGTAAAACTTCATTCACTCTAGTTGGGCTGAACTGGTACATGCGTAAGGCTTCTTCTATTGGGCCTCTAATTGATTGTGGGCTTCTGGTTATCTTAATTTGGTTGTGGGCTGTTTTTCACCGCCACGTGGTGTGTTGCAATTGGTGGGGTTTTTTCCCTCCACAATATGGTTTGATTGTTCTTTGACTTTGGAGATTTTCATTATTTATGTATTTTAATTGCATTATTATGAGCAATTAACTTAGGATTTCTAAGCAATTGGAGTTTTAATGAATAAACTTGATTTTTGATGAAATTAATGTCTTATCTTAGAATTGATTTTACTTTAATCAAATCCGAACTATTCTTATTGTTTGAGATTTGCAGCTAAGGCTCCGTTTGGCATGCGTTTTGTTTCTGCTGTTTTTGTTTTTGGATTGCTACAGTGTCGATTTTGGCAACAAAAACATGTTTGGTACGGCCTTATTTTATTTTACATAGTGCTAAAATACTTCATGAACAGTGGCCCAAAACCAAAACACCAAAAAATTATTTTTTCTTGTTTTGATAATTGTTCATGACCCAAAACCATAACAGTAACTCAACACGGGCCAAAAACAAAATACCTAAAATATCATTCCCAAACGTGTTTTTAATTTTTCTCCAAAATACTACTACAACAAAAACACTGTTTCTGTTTTAGCCAAAAACAAAACGCCAAAAACAAAGTGCACGCCAAACGGGCCCTAAGGGCTTCTCATAACGATTTGAATAATAATCATGCAATAGTACTTAAATTGAATTGTGAATGAATGTTTTGATAATTTATGCTTAGGGAAGGCAAATTATTCTACAATTTAGTTTAGAGTAGTTAGGTAGATAATTCTTGCCAACCGAAGATAGGTTATTGCTTAACTTAAATTCATGATTTATCTTCTTGAAATTGAATTAAATTGGATTTTAATTCATTTAATTCCTGATCATGCATAAATATTGAAATCCCTAAGGTTGAATCAATTGACCATATTATGAGGTTCGTGGTGAAGTTAAGCCATAAGTATTTTTTCTCTTGATCTCAATCTTTGTTATAGTTACCTATTTTTTCTTTCATGTTATTTAGACATAAACAAAACAACCAAATTTTTTCTCGAAATTAAATTAGTAATTAATTTTACACTTGACAATTCACCACAGTCCTTAAGGTTCGACACCCTCAACATAGCCCTAAAAGGATTCGTTCTATTGCAAGTGATTTTTACTATTGAAAACAGACACATCAATGAGCGGAGCTTGAACAATGATGGGCTAGGCTCATTAGGCTCGTGAACAAGCTCGTATAATAAAGTCCCATTCCATAATCCATATAAATTTACCCCAAACTCATACATCTTTCATAAGCCCAACTCTTTTACTCACTGTAATCCCAAACTCGAACATATTCAATTAAGCTTAACTCTATTTTGTTTCCTTAAGTCTAACTCCATTATTAGCGTTAAATCCTAGTATCTCATTCTCCAACAAATCTTTCCCCTCTTTCTCTCTCCAGTGACGGTTCTCCAACAGAGTTCTTTCGCTCTCTCTCTTCGGTAACCAGTCTCCCATAGAGGTCCCTCTCATGTCTCTCAATCCCCTTTTAGTGTTGATGGAATCATTATTGCCATTGAATTCTTGAGGAAGATGATCGGAGATCGGCGAAAGAGAGAACAATGATTTTTTCCATCTTATTTAGATATGAGACTCTTCCATTTTTTTTTTTATGTTGTTGGATATATAGGCAAGATTTTTTATCTTTTGGATATGTAAGATCTTAATCAGGAAAAAAAAAATAAAAAATAAAAAATAAAAATAAATAAAATAAAAAATTTTGGGAGGCAAGCTCGAGCTTGGCTTGTCCAACCTCGCACGAGTCCAAGCCGAGCCCAAGCAAGGCTTGGCTCGGCTCGGCTCAGTTCATTTGCAGCCCTATTTGAGGATCTCCTAAAACATGACAGCTTCAAGTCTTAATAGAAGCTTTACCAAAAGGGACAAACAAAGCAATTAAAGTATTGGATTTTATAAAAAGGTTAGGTTATTGTTTTCCAAATGCTTGGATTACATATAGAGTATTATTGACTATCCAAGTTACGGTTGCATCTGCTTAAAGAAGCTTTTCAAATTTCAAGTTGATTAAATCTTACCTAGAGTTGATGATGTCACAAGAGAGATTGAATGGGTTGGCTATGATCTCTATTGAAAAAGAGATGTTGGAGAAACTTGATTAAAGCATCTTAATTGATAATTTTGCAATTCAAAATACAAGACGGTCACATTTACTTTAATACGAAGTTGAATTTTGATTTTTGTGACTAAGTTGAGTTGAATATTTCCTTTCAATTTTTTGATGTAAACTAGATCATGTTC